TTGTAACTGGTTTTTGGCAGTTACGGAGAGAGGTTTTTGTATAGCCAATTGCCTTTAGGACATTAGAAACATATTTCCTCTCCTCGGCCTTCGAATCGAGTGAAGATGGTAGTCCGTCAGCCCTCCTAAGTAAAGTTTTGGCTACAGACTTTTTAAGGCAAATAGGGTGGTGAGAATCGAAAGCGAGGTATTTGTCGGTGTGGGTAGGTTTACCGTAGGCACTTGTCTCTAAATTACCCTGAACCCCTCTGGACACATTTAAATCAAGAAAGGGCAAATTTCTATCCTTTTCACGCTCACAGGTGAGTTGGATCGAAGGCTTTACTGAATTTAAATGTGACAGGAGGTGTTCCGCTTCATTTCCGGATACCACAGAAATAAAATCATCGACGTATCGTTTCCAGGAAAAGGGTTTAACCGGTGAAGTGGCTAAGGCCCTTTGTTCCCCGTCTTCCATTACCATGTTAGCAATGACAGCAGAGACGGGCGAATCCATGGCTGTATCAAAAACTTGTTGATAGTAGGTGCCGTTATATGTAAATTGCGTGGTTTTGAGGCAAAAAGACAGCAGATGAATAATATCCTCCACAGGCAAAGAAGTTCTAAGTCCAAGGGAGGCATCTTCTCTGAGTCTCTCCTCTGCAACCTTAACAGCAAGATCAACTGGGATTTTAGTGAAGAGCGAAACAACGTCGAAAGATACTAATTCTTCACAAGCGTTAATCCGCAAGTTCGCAGGAATTTTTGCCAGTGTAATCAGTATTCCCAACAACAGGCGACAAAATTGTCGTAAGATAACCAGAAATTGCATAATCGGAGAATTAACAAAAGAGACGATGGGTCTCAAAGGAATTCCTGGTTTATGAATTTTAGGTAAGCTATAAAAACGTGGACATAAGCCGTCACTACTGTATAACATTTTGTAAGTAGAGTCACTAATTTTACCAGCTTTTTTCGAATCAAGCAACATTTTGTTTAACTTTCTTTGAGTTTTACTGGTAGGATCAGAGTTTAAGACAGCATACGTTCTCTTGTCATTAAGCAGAGACAAAGCTTTGTCGTGATATTGCTGTTTGTCCATAACCACAACACAATTACCCTTGTCAGCAGATAATACGAGCCTATCCGGATCCTTTTCTTTTTTAAAAGGACCTCTTGTTGCAGTGTTTAGATCACCCCTGATGAAGGCACTAGACAAGAGTGTCGAAACGTTGGGTCTAAATCTGCAAACCAGAGCAGCATCAAACCATGTCTGATGGTCCATCTGATTGCCTTGTGAACTTTAATAGATTTCTCAAACCTGTTTGACGGGTTCTCGAATAAAAATGTTGTTAAGATCAAATTACCGCTTCAAAGTTACTGTAAACATGAATATCGCTTACTCAATCTCATTTTACTTTAATTTTGGGAAAGGCTCCTTCTTCGTCATTAGGGTAAAACAACACATCTTTGACAAAGCTTAAGTTTTTTAAATGGGAAAAGTAAACCCTGCGACAGACAGTCAAATGAAGATAGTATGATAGAAACTTGCTCACGCCTTTAGCTATCATTTGAAAACTTTCTAGGCAAAACATACTCCCTAAGATAATTTCTTTTCCTTTAACACTACGACCGCTAAACATTTAAAAGATGAGAAAAGAAATAATTTAAAGGATATGAACACTTTGAAATGAATGCCAGAGTCATTGTTTTACCGAAACGTGATCAGAACTACAAACTGAAGCGAGTATCAAACGACGATTGTTAAAAACGATTTGAGTTTTTTTGGGCCTTAGCGTAAGAGAAAACCCAGATATGACACGACTTACCTCTACTCCTTTCTCGGATTCTTTGTAGTTCGCTTCTCTTTGTTGCTGACCTCTTTTAAGTCTGTTTTTAAGCCCTTTGCATTTCCTTCTCACGTTCCTCTTCACTAAATATTTGCCTTTTAACTTTTACCTTTCCTTCTTCTCTTTCACGTTCTTCTCGCCGTATTCTGCCTATTTTAGCGTCCTTCCTAACTTTCTGGCGCATTTTCTCGACTTGCTTTTCGCCTTTTACGTCTTGCTTTCTTTGGTCGCTCTGTCTCCTTCTTTCCAGCCTATTTTCACTCAAAACCCTTTCTCCACGAACTTGAATTATAACAATTTACTTCAGTTGACAAAGTTTTAGCTCTGTCGGTATTGTTGCTTTGCGAGTTGATTAGAAACTGCAAAATACTGAGAATTATTGTTCAACCACAACCTCAGCAGTTTGTTTTCCCGCTCAGAACATGGGTTGCATTCTATTTGCTTACGCGGCTTCACATCTACCAGCCCACGTGAAGCCCTCGTGATGCCTAACCGTGTGCACGCGGTACGCGGCGCTTAAGCTCGGCGCTCAGGCAATGTGCACTAATGGGGTACCCAAGTTACGCTGCGCATTACATTCTCCTCCGCCCCTCCATTTCAAAATGGCTAAGATAGTGCCCCCATTACAGTTAGACGCGCATGCTGAAAGTAGCGCCTTGTACGGTCGGTAAACGGTCGTAAGTCCAATTTTTTTCGGCTTGATGGGTTACTGCTATTTTTTCTAATTTGGTTACGCTGCGCGAACTACGAGCTCCGCTAATAATTAAAAGGGAAGATTCTCTGGGTTAGTCTCATTCGTAGGGAACGAATTGCATGCAGAAGACTGTATCGACTGAAAACTGTCTTAATGAACCCCCGCCTTTATCATTGTCAGAATATCCAAAACAACTGTGTCTAGGAAAGCCTATCTATTTATAATTTAATAAGCTCTGCAGTAACTATGTAACCTAGGTAGTTCAGAAAAATAATATTACAGTTGGGGGTTCTCGTTCATATTCACAAACTCGCAAAATAAGTACAATATTTATACTGTGAGCAAAATCAGTAGTCAAACAAACAGTTCCCCAAAAAGAAAACTATCGAACGAATGAATAACGAAAAGCTTCTGGAGCCTGGGAAAGCCGTGGGATGCCTAACCCCTCTAATATGTGCGATCGTATTCATCAACATCCTGTAACTGGCTCTCAGTCAGCCAAGACAGTCAAAAAGTGGGTAAACCAAGGTTAGCTTGGTTTGTCAAGGAACTCGCTAAGCGTCGCTCACCTGCTATTCCACTTTTTTTCCATAACCAATGGCCTGAAACAGGTCACTCTAACCAATTGAAAAAATTAAAACTACATGAGAAGGTAAAGAAAGAGATCTATTAAGAAATTATTTTGTTTAATAACAACCCTGGGAAAAAAGAAAAAATTAAGTTTCTTGCTACCTTCAATCTAAAAGATTATTCGTATTTCTATTTGTCCATCTTACCATCATATAAATGATATTACTTTCATTCTGTCGAACGAATATTTAAGGCAAAAAACATGGCTGCAGCAAGGTAGGAAAATTACTCAATTCCCTTCCTCAATTACTTGATTAATATTTCTCGAGGATGAACTTCCATGGCT